TTCTAATAACAGTCCTATAACCAGGAAATAACTTACTGTATATTAAGTTCTTATAGCAAAGCAAGAACGTTAATACAACATTTATATAACGGGAGAACTGAACGTTCTTATAAAGTTTTGATAACTTTCTTATAACTAAGAAATAATGTTAATAAAACGTCTAAAAAACTGGACGTTTTGAATGTTCCTAGAACATTCAAAAATAAAGTTTTTTATAACTTAATGTGAACGTTATGAAAACGGTCTTATAACCTAAAATCTAGGGAAGAGGAGAGATTTGCGATTGCACTGAACACGTTTTATGTGCAGGATTCTCTGAGCGAACCCAAAGAAATCGTGTATCTGAGAGTGCACACGGCACATTATATTCCACGCGCGAGCAGAGAGATGTGAACCCAATTCACAGTTTTATGTGAACGATTAGGATGATTTTCAGATCATTGTGAAGAAAAAACTCTAGGCAACAGCATAAATTAGTCAAAAGTCTTGTGGACGCATATTTCAAATGTGTTTTGTGGCGTTATTTCAGAAATTTTTTTGTTTTTTCAATAACTACGCATAAACATTAATCTCAACAAAAATACAAACATGTACATACACGTTGCTCACATATTATGGTTGCCCTGTTTGTGCTAAATATAGTGTAATTTCACCTGTGCCATCAATATGTTTAAACAACTGAAAAAAAGCACAGATGTCAGGGCATGTCAGAACATCTCAAGGACCCCAAATACACTTTGGTCCCCAGGGGGTTAACTATATTGAGCTGAAACTCTACACACTCATGGAAGGATATCATGTCTAATGCCTTAATATTAACTTCGAAAGATCAATCACCATAAAGTCATTTAATGGACAAACTTATTTATAAAAAATAAATGAACTGATTAATGCATTTGTGGAGATTGGTAATGACTATATCTTCCAGGGAACACGAAACAGCATTTCAAAGATAAATTCATCCATTAACAAAGATGAAAAAAGCCTCTAAAAGCATTTCAAGCTCCTGCATCATGCACAGCTATTACAGATAGGATTAATTCTCTGTGGCGCCTCGGGTTTTCTTCCAGCTTTCAGTGAACAGCCATCCTGGGCTTGGTTTATTAGTACAAGTCTCATCTCTGTAAAGTCTTTTCACACACATCTGAGTGACACATGCCATCATTTAGCAGGAAAAGCGAAACATCGTAGCACACATTGTTATTCCAAGGGCTAAATCCATCGGTTTCAGATTTGCATGGTGGCAGCTCAAGGCCCTGTGTGTATCTAGCCTGGGATTTACGTTACGTCTATTAGCGCAGGCTCACAAACAGGAGATTTAAAGGGCCTGGTGATGTACAGTACATACTCCAGGTTTGTGATTGGTATTAAACTATATTACTATGGAGACCGGTAGGAGCAGCGGAGGGGGCTGCAAATGCGTTGGCAATGGAATGGAAGAGTACACTATTATTTATCTGTTCTGTGTGGTCTTCCAACAAGAAATAAGTTAGAGTGACTGTGTAGTTTTCGCACCTTTAAATGTAAAATCCACATGGGGTTGCCTGCCCACACGGATCTGTGAGTAAGCATTGGGGGCAAAGATAGCGCAGAGATAGAGAGTATTCAGCCTTCCAGAGTACCGTTCTACACTACGTCTATGTGACCCGACTCTCCATTCAAACCACTCAGCATTGCTGCTAATGGTGTAAGGGCCACCATGATCCTATTTCTTTCCACAAACACACTGTGGATTAAGACCACATAGTGAAAACACAGCTTCAATAGATAAAACACCAAAGACTTCTCTATTGTCTACAGGCTTTAGCTCGACTTTTTTCATATTTATACAGTTTTCACAGCAATCATGCTTAGAATCTCTG